CGAAGCTCTCCCCAGATCAACTATCTTACTTTTGTCGCGCCACAATTCGCTATAAAAGGTCGCGGCAAGTACGCGTAACGCGATCATGATTATGATCGCGGTTTTGTCGTGGTCTAAGAATGAAAGCATGCATCAATTCTAGAATTGTTTTTTTTGGTGCATCTGCAAAAATAATTGTATCTCTCATATCATTTGTTACCAATTTTTATCCACAATGTAGGATTGTAGTCTCGACTTTTCTCTAATGGTTGTATTTGCATTTGAGTAGGCCAGAACATGGAAAATATTGACTAATTCCCTACCAATTTCGATTCCACTTTTTAAAAAGTCGCCTGTAATGGTAAATTTAATGTTGACGCAAAATTTCCAAATAGCCTGTTTGTAGAGAAAAGTCGAGACTACAATCCTACATTGTGGTTAAAAATTGGTAACAAATGATATGAGAGATACAATTATTTTTGCAGATGCAGCAAAAAAACAATTCTAGAATTGATGCATGCCTGCTACTCTCGCCCTATTTTCCTGCTTGCTGTTATTATAATGTAGTATTCACTTCTACCACTTTACAGCGAGGCTCCTATACTTATTAACATAATGTGACCACAGCTATCGCGATTTGGGGCTTTATTAGATGCCCTATATCTTTTCTTTTTCCCTTTCAAATAAAGTTTAACAATAACGGAGTTATTTCCAAAATCTTGCAGTTTTATAATCAACCACTTTCAAAGGTTTCTACCCACTGCTTGTAGGATAACCCGACCACTGGCAAACAACAGAATAATACTGCTAATACAAAGGTTAGACGGATGCATATAAAGAACTAAATATTATGAATTATATGTCACCAGCACTTAGCTTTTGCATCAGATGACAATGGAACGAGAAAGGTGAGAAGAAGAACTCAAGTTATCGATAGTAGATATTTATAAGATAAGAGCCATCGAGAATTTTGTTAGCTAGTTCTTTGTCACTAGAAGCATAAATTCTGTATGTCACCGTGTAGTGAAGTTAACTGCTTCCCTAAATTTCTGTTGTGAACAAAACTACTGGGAAGCGCATTGTGTCCGCACTATCCGTTGTGTGTTGTTACTCTTCATACCGAACACGAGACCAGATTGATAATGTATCAGCAATTTTTGATGTTCTGCACCATTATGGTCAGAATGTGTTTCCAATTTTCCGTCGTGTTCCTCATATTACCTTGTATTGCCACCGGTCTCGAGGTGACAGTCAGCAATACCCAACCTCGTGTTGATGTCGACGGTCAACTGATGGATATTCATGATGGAAATATCGTACAGTGGATACCAGGAGGATACTACTACTGGTACGGAAATGGTTACACGCTTTGTAAGGATACTCGGTGGGGATGTGAAGGAGTATTTGCTCTATCTGACTGTGGATTTCGCACAAATCACAGTATCAACCTTTACGTCTCCCCAGATCTGTATCAATGGAAATTTGTGCGTAACATTCTTCCTGCTGAAGTAAGGCCAAATGGGATCTATTACAGACCGAAAGTAATCTATAATCCACAAACAAAACAGTATGTACTGTGGGTTAATATCGTAGAAAAGACAATTTTCGGCATTCCTAATTTTCTTAATGCTACGTACGTAGTAGCTACATCACCCACTCCAGACGGACAATTTACAGTGAGAAATCCAAGAGTAAAAACTCTACAATACGGTAATGGTGGTGATTTTGCGTTGCTTGTCGACGATGATGATGGACAAGGTTATATTGCATATGATGCTTTCAATGATTTCCATGCACTTCAAATCGAGCGTTTAGCTCCAGATTTTCTTTCTACTCTTGGCTCTATTGTAACAAGCGGCATAATCACTCCAATCAATAACGAAGCACCAATATTTTTTAAGAGATATGGATGGTATTATCTATTATACGGTCAACGTTGTTGTTTCTGCCGCCAAGGATCAAATTCGCATGTCTTGGTATCTAGATCTCCGTTAGGACCATTCATAGATACCGGAGTAGATTCCGAAGCACATGGCCAAGAGAGTTTTGTCATTCAAGCTATGCTAGCTGATAACAGCATTCAGTTTATCTTCGTTGCTGACAGATGGGTTAGTGATCATGACAAGTATATGGCACATGATTTGCAGTTTTGGGCCCCTCTGGTCTCTGATGATAGTCAAAATCCCCCATTACCGCAATTGGATTGACAGTTTTACTCTTGATCTTAATGTTACTGATCTGAATTAGTGTCTTTCCTATGGATCTCATTTTCAATCTCTCTGCAGGGTTGCATATGCACATGACAATAAAGGGAATCCGTTGAGCATTCCATAATGATCGAAACACGGATACATTTCAAAGTTGCAGCGTAGCTTAGTACGTTAGACAATACGAGACCGAGAGGGTCGTGAATAGGCATGCACCGTGACGAGAAGCCTCGAAACTGTAGTCTCGAGTCGCGATATGGCTGAAAATTTTTTTTATAACTACTCTTGCTGAGAAAATGGAGCAACCTGTTTTGTATTAAAGTTGATTTCTGATGTAGAAAATTGAGAACTACGAGCAGCATTCTGACTTTTCGCCTCTGATTGAGAAAAAATGAATTTTTCACGAGACCTACTGGACAATCTGTGTGTCATCAGTTAGTATGACCATCGTATTTTACTTTGTTTTTAGTCTATATACACGTATGAAAACTATAAAATGAATAAAAAAGATCAGTTTAAAAGAAACGTCGTCTCTCGTTCATCGTTTTTTTCAGTAAAATCAACATATCTCCATGAGGATCGGAGAAAAGTTTCAAAGCCAGGGAGGAGATAGGTTTGCGCGAGAGATATCTCATTTTGTCGAACACTTACTCTTGTCAAAATTGTGCAGCACATTCTTAAAAACTCGGTTTTCTAGAAAACCTAGTGACCTTCAAATTTCTTTCAGAAGTTTTTCAAGCATATCATTAGATAGCCCCCTTCAAATCTCCACAAAATGAGATGTTGACCACGTTTCTACGATGATGTGCTACAATGCAAGAAAAAATGCGGAAAAAAGGTCGGAACTTCGGCATTAAAGCAAATCAGGTTATAGTCGTAATGTTAAACAACCTGTAACTCTGTGGTTCGAGATCGTAGAAACGTGGACAACATCTCATTTTGTGGAGATTTGAAGGGGCTATCTAAAATAATATGGTTGAAAAACTTCGTTTTGTTCGCGGTTTAAAGCTATATCGAATGGTGTATAAGACTTTCCTTCAAACTTGTTGTGTTCTGAGAAAATTACGAAAAACACCTCGGAATGGGCTCGCGTAGCTATTGTTCAAAGTTGATCGATTTTCTGAGAGATATGAGGTCCGAAGGGGAACCAACGATGTAGAACCCCATAAAATTGTATGCTCTTTTATTCTAGATACCTTTCGAGAAGATCTGAAATGGGGCCGATCCTCGTTCTTATTGCACCTCGTTCTTTAGTTACCATATTTTGACATGGTCAACATTCTCTGAAAGTTTGTGTTGAGATAGCATTCTGTCCCGAGGGACGGGAGGGGGGATCTTAATAATATGGTGCTTAATATTCATGTACATTTGCTGTTTTTCTATATCAAACTGTATCTTAACGGCATATTAGATTTCGAACAAAATCGTTTTAGTCCAGCACTGGTATCACCTCTAGTAAATTAATTTAAAAATTCTTTGTGAGGTTACGAGGTTCAAGTAAAGTGAAAAATGTGCAAAATCATTTTCACATCAATTGTCTGTCAACTTTGACAATTACAGATGTATAACATGCGTCAGCTTGGAAAGAATGAACGGAAATTAGATCTTTTTTTGTATATGACATCTAACAGTTGTTAACGCCTCCTGAATGCTTTCTTCAGCAAGAAAATATTCGGGAAGTGAAAATGTAAAAATTTTGAAGATTTTTAAAATTTAAGAGCAAAAGGTGGAACCATCACCGATGACTAATAAGTGATCTTGACGCCTGTCAATATCTTTGAGAAAAGATAAAAAAAAACGAAGTAAGTTTCTTTAAACAATAAATGTTATAGCCGTGTACGATTATCTATAGCTCTTTCTTCGTACAAAAAAGCTTGATTCTGGAGAAGTTTGAACAGACGACATCATGACATCAACAACACCAGGAACACGTGAACCATCAGCCACATTTATTTTCACAGTCTACAGCATTATTCTAATACTAACTGTGATTTCACTGCTGTTGAGTATATTAATCCTTTTAATAGTTCTACTAAATAAACATCTTCATACAATAACAAATCTGTTAACGTGCAATTCATCATTTTCAATTTTCTTATGTTGTATTGCTAGTTTATGTCAGATATGTAATAAATTTTTATTTAATGACGAACAGCGACGAAAATTAGAACCAAAATGTACGATATTGGCATGGTTCGCAGCGGCAGCAACCGCTCCCGTTTCCCTTTCTTATCTCGTTACAGCTCTGAGTCAATTTTTCTTTATTGTTTTATACAAACATAAATATCTCTTAACATTTCGTCTTCATTTCGTTCTTATAACTGTTAGTTATTTGATTAGTTCATTACTTCCGTTAATTCCATATTCACGCAAAACATTGCAATATGAACCAGAGTCACACGCATGTGTCATGGTGAGAAAAGACATATTTTCGACGTTCATCATCACAACCATTTCATTTTTGGCTCCACTGATTATTATTACGGGTTTATACTACTATATTGTTCGTTATACGAGACGACAAAGGGTCGCCATTCCATCTGCATCCGCTTATAATAAACGAGATTTGACCGTGCTGAAAAATATTTTGACTCTAGTTCACATTCTCGGTTTTGCTGGGATACCATTTCTTATATTAACAATATGGAACGCAACGCAAAAAAACGATGGAATATCCACCACTCCGAGTGAACTATATCTGTTGAGTATATTAACAATCCAATTTTGCATTGTCGTACATATCTTAGCTGTATTTTGGATGAACAAAAGTGTTCGAAGGGTGTTTATTGTATTTATTCGCAAGACAAATAGCAGTGTACATCCAGTTACACGGGCAGCTAGAAATGGCACCGTGAAATCAGTTGACACTCGTTTTGCGTAATAGTTGTAAATGCGATGCATAAGCTAAGAAAACTGGATTACTATCTGGCAGTGTAGTTTATACGTATAGAACCAGAAAAGCTTATTTTGTGTGAGATTATCGTTGTGAAAATGAATATAATTTGTCTTGTTGTTAATTTGAGGCCTGTTTAGGATTGCCAAAGAAGGTAAAGCTTGACTTAGCTTCCATCAAATATCCGTACAACGAAAATTGAAAGTCTGCCCAAGCACGAACGCAACTAGCTGCGTAGGATAGTGTACGGAACGATCATTCATAGATAGCAGCTAGCTAAAAGAATAAAAAACAGCCATTTAACTGCTATCCATTTCAAAATATAAGGCAGTCCATTGTTTTTCGAATAACTGGAGAATGGAATGAGCTATCCTTATACATCATACTTCTGTTGGCGCGTACCGCTGTAAAACTGTACACAAGTCGGCAAAAATCTTTGTTTCTGGAGAAGAATCTCGATTACAAAACTGAATTAGACGTCTACGTTTTTTCTTTTTTTTCTTGCTCGATTCCTACTATCACTGTCGAACAGAGGTATTTTTAAGATGAGAATACACGTTTAAGAAAACCAATGAAAGCCAAAAAAAAGAAAAGAAAAAAGTCGAAGAGAAAACCGTACCAACTGAAGAAAAAACGAGTAGTGTCATGACCTAAGGCATATAAGAAGAGTGGTTTGTGGGAAGGGAAAAAACGTTTTTGAAAAAAGGCGAGCGTAACTTTGTAGCCCGTCGAACGGCGGTTCGAATGGTATATAATAGTATGGGTTTACTGTTGAAACCAGGGAGGAGATACATTTGCCAGATTGAGGTATCAATCGGAGTCTGAGGTCCGCCGTCAGTGGTAGGGATGACTTGAAATTTTTTCAAAGTCACTCTAATCTACTCAGCATTTGGTGCTGAACCCAAATAAAATAAGCAGAAAATTGTTTCAGGTCAGCAAAGTAGGGAAACCATGCGGTTTCTCAGAAACAGACGGTTTTTCACGTTTTTCTGTTTTTACAAGTTTTCTGCTGTACAGTTGACGTCAAAAATCTTTAAAGGTGATATTCTTGATCAGCTCGACGTGCTCTACCCAACCATGTATAATTCGACCAGATTCATTTTATCACTAACCTTTTGAATTTCCGGCACCTTACATCATTTCTATATGATAAAATTATTTTTACAAGAGACAAATTGACCTAAAATAAACAATATCAGCGATGTTTTGAGTACTTTTTGTCCATATACAAACGAGGATCCAACTTGCATTTGATATTGAAAAAGAGTCAATGAAAAACTTATTGCCCGCACTCTGTAGCGGTTTGGTATTTTGGTAGTGATAACTCGTTGGGAGCATTAGTGAAACTGAAAAATCGAAGTATCGACGGATACATCGACTCGCTGCGCTCGGTTCTGTGTTGGTCATATGCAGATCAATACGCAAGTTTTGGGGATTTATCTAGTGGTTGTTATTCACCGAGTATTTTCTTATGACTCTTACTCTCGGTCAACGGGCAGGTGATGAATATGCAACCTCACATTGCCGTTGAGTTCACTGCGCATCTTAGAATAATTGGAAGAGACGTTTCATACAGCTTAGAACCTCGTCATAGTACAATAGTGTATCGGTATTCAGCACAATCTCAGAGTAAATTGTTTACACACATCTCTATGTGTATGAAAGATAGAGACTATAGTCCTATTCGTATACTCACCCTCATGCTCCTCACATCATCGGCCCTTCTTCGGAAAGAGGAGTCAAATCCCCTTTCCGTCGGTCACTGGGATCGTACGCTGAATTAAGCGCTTCAGCCATGCGCTACGTTGTTCAACTCTGTATGTTTCCTTTTTCAGATCAGCCTGACACCTTGCAACGACTCTCGTCATATTACAACAATGTAGCAGTGTCCAGTACAATGGGAGACTAAACTTTCTACATGCATCTCTATCTGCATGGCAGATGCAAACTATAGTCCTATTCAATTAACATGTCAGGTCTTGTTTCTGGGTAAACTAGAGATGGTATTGTGTTACTCATGCTCATGCTTTTTTTTTGAGATGCAAATTCATATCTTTTTAGATTCTGACATCCAAAATCAATTATTTTTGCATTTCAGAATGCAAAA